TAGAACACATTTGGATGTATTTTAAGAGAAAGATGAAGCAACACAACCCCTTTAGCAAAGAACAACTGAAAAACAAACTGTCAGTGAAGGATGGCAAAACATCTCTTAATAAATATGTACAACTCTGATGTCTTCCATACTTAAGAGGACTGAGTCCATCGTCAAAAACAAAGATGGTAATACAAATCTTTGGAGAGAAAAAAAAAGGGGGAGAGATTGAAATCTCAGTAATGAAAGATTAGAAATAATGCAGTTATTTTAAGAGTTTTGAATCACTGAAAATGTAAGTGATATTGCATCGGGGTGTACACTCTCCTGTTGTATATAGTAAATCGCCACTGTGCTTGCTACAGTTCTTACAATTGGCATATTTTCATAGCTTTCCTAGTTGCTTATTCTGGGCAACTTGGAAATAAAGAAGTAATTGCAAGCAGTGACTTCCATGCTCAGCAAACAACTGCATTATCTTTCCACCAGCAGCTCATGAAAGTGCTGATATACACCTGAACGAGAGAAAAACGAGGGAAGTGGGAAGGGGCCAACGTAGCAAAGACAGACCTAAAGAGATTCACATCCTGTGGGCTAGATGTCATATGGCAAAGCTCAATATTGGTTAATAAATGATAGGAAAAAGGTACCAGGACTGAAAGGAGAAGTAAAACTCTAATAAATTACCTTTATCTCCTTAATGAGACAACATTAATTTTGGTCTCAAGGTCTGGCCGAAAGCGGTCTGATTTATCATCTACCTTTAACATTGTGGGAATTAGTCTAATTACCAGGGATATAGAGAGCTGATTTTCACTTCACAGAAAGCCCATTGTGCGCCCAAATCATTTATCACAGCCGCGGTCTGGATGTTCCAGGCCTGGTGGGAAAGGTGGTGCTGCTCCACAGCGTCCCTGAAAGCTTCGGGTGTCACAACATGCCTGATACAAAAAACACAAAGCAAGTTGAGCTGACAGAGAACGGAAGAATCTGTATCTTTCAAAGCCTGTAGAATGGATTTGATATGTTTTCATACGATCCATGCTATCAGACCAACAAGCTCTAAAAGCTCCAGAGATGTTGTTTCTGTTCAGCTCCCGAACTTTCTTCAGTCTCATCTATCAGTAGCATGCAGGATCTTATCAATAGGTTAAATAAACCAGTGAGTTAATAATGTAGGTCTACTGACTAAGCCAGCACACAGTGAACACAAGAGCACACCTGGATTAGTTTAAGGACAGGGCAAGCTGTCTCAGAGCTGTGGTAATGATTGAAAAATATGCCTGTAATTGCTGATAAGCCCTTTAATGTTTCAGTAAACTCCTGTTGGCCGCTAAGTTTACTGACGCATAACTCGTCGATAAACTCTGGCTTTGTAGTCAAGGGCTGGCGGCTTCTTTGAACCAATTGTCCTCTCACGGTGCTAAAGGGTGTGCGCTGTATTTTGAGAGTTCTGCAAAGGGTTCAAAAGGGCATGTGCATGTGAGGACAGGTCTGACAGATGAAGGGAAACAAGGTAATGAGAGTTTAGAACAGATCAGATTCACTATTAGGAGGCCTTTAAGGTGAGTTTCCACCTGCAACCAGGAGCCTGATTGACTGTTTCTGACTCAGTTGTGAGCATCAGCAACACAGTAAATCATACTGATCTCATCGTACGCCACTGTTCCTGGCCCTGACCTCTGAAAGGTTTCTCCCTCATTGATCAATGCCATCACTATCTCTAGTATTTAAAGTTCTTAAGCAAATGGAAAACAAGGCAGTCATGCTAGCTGCTCTGTTGAACTGCACTTAAGCACTGTTAGCTAACATCCATGTACCAGCAATGATCACAGTGCTTATAAACGGATGTTTAGCACAAACATTATTTATCACACTTCATCTTAGGTTAACAAAGTGTAAGTAGGAAAAAACACAAAGTACCACTGAAGCTGAAATTTTATTACATTTGCAGTTATTAGATCATAAATCCTACTGAGAAAAGTCATTGTGTGCTCCGGTGATGAATAAAACTGAAAATGAAAGCTTAAAGCACTTAAAAATCCAAACTGTTAGTTGCTATAAATTATTCTGAATCAAATTCAAACCACAAATGTCTTAAAAACCCAACTGGTATCTTCTGTTTGTCATTCATCATTTTGAACGGCGAGTTGCAACAACTAACATGTTTTCTATACAGGGATAGGGGTCATATTTTAGAGTCACCACAGGAAACGTCAGGTTTGCCACAGAGGACGATGCAGAAAACACAGTGTTGGACTCCAAATTGGCAAATGTGCATCTGGGGCACTGGGAGGTGAGATTATAAGTCAGGTCAAACAGGCAACTGTCCAGGAACTACAGGCGCCAGTTACCCCTATGAGCCCCTGTGTTATATGTATGTGAGATAGCAGAATTTTTGCACCACTGATTTTATATATTGAGACAGGTTTTCCATTATTATTTAGACCCTGTTCTTGCAGAAGGCCTGCAGAAGAATTTTGCACTCACATTTTACAGTTGTTTTAATCATCATGAGGGTGCAACAACAAATTGATGCAAATAAGTTAAGGCAGAAGAAAAATGTCCAAAAATTCCAAAAGACTCTAACTTGTTTGCTTGCATCAGCTTCAATTATTTAACATGAGGTGTCAGCCTCCAAACCGTCTTTTTTTTTATTTATTCATGATTATTTTGGGGCATCTCAACTCCATAATAACCCATGCCATTTTAGGGCACTTTATATTTCAATTACAAAAATGACTAACTTTGGAGCATTGTGGCCTACTCACACATAAGGCAGCATTTGAACCTTTCAAGGAGAAAGACAGAGGAAGGTTTCTGACACCACACAGTATGACACACTGATTTAATTTAATTTGTGCACCACGGGCCCGGGTGGCGGGTTTACCCAGGGCCTTCCTATTTAAATTACTTTCAAATCACAAAAAACAAAAAGGAACGCGGCTTTGGAAGCGGTGGGGGAAAGGTTAAGGGAAAAGAAAAAGAAAAACAGGCAGAAAGCTGCACTGATTTCTTTGGAGCAAATTACCTTTATATCAGCGCGGTACAGACAGGCGGTAATCTGCCTGATAGAGAGCTCAGGGAGAGAGACATTGAGTCATAATGGTGAAGGAGAAGAGAGAGACAGGAGTGGGCGGATCTGCTGGAGCGCTCCAATCTTCTGGAGGTCAACCAGAAGCGCGCTCTGCACAAAGCACCGGCCAATTACAAATCACAGGGTCTTCAAAAGAAGTGGTGCGCTCATATCAGCGGAATGGGTTTCAATTTCCTGAGATAATGCGCGTTTTGCTTTGGGGTTTCTTGTGCAGTTTGTAGACTGAAGCATTGTCGCATCTAAAGCCAAGACAGTCGCCCTGATTGTTAGTAAAGGTTTTAAACTACTGATAAAGAAATCAAAATGATAAGCTCCCGAATACATCCCACTTACTATCACAGAAACTAGTAAAATATTCGGATTGGGGATGCTGCGTTTTTGCGCAAAAATGCAGCAAAATCTGAATTTGTGATCAAAATTATTGACAGTTTACTGGGATGGATTTTAACATTTTACAGCTGTATACTCAACATAATATTGCAGTATCTGATAAGGAGAAAATGAATAAATAAAATGTTTCCCACCAGAATAATAGTCAGCATTTAATTAATAAACAGTATTTAAAAATCTGCAAGAAAAAAAAAATTATATGCGTTTCCATTTTGAGAGAGATGTGGGGTTATTGGGGTGTTGACTGGGTTAAAGATCAACATTTCGTTTGGATCTTGCGATTCACAATTTAAATGCTGCCTTATTTATTTTTTTATTTTCCAAGTGTTGACTAAGTTTAGCTCAATCATTAACTAGCAAATTCTCTATAAAATGTTGAGAGATGTTGAGACAAAGTCTTAGTTTAACCAAATAATCTGCAGCACAGTTAAACTCGGCTCTATTATCCTGTTGCATATTATTATTATTTCTATAAGTTTTAAATCTTTGTCAGTGTTGCCATGTCACGTTACAAACGAACGAATGACGTTGACGCACCTCCGCTTTCAGGCCTTAAAGCGGCATTAAGCAGAAGGCCAATTAACTTATAGCCTCCTCTGCCAAGTCATTACACTTTTATACGGTTTGTGTGCAATTCTTGATCGTAAACTTTAATGGCACTGGTATGGCCTTAGTATGAGAATGAGGCGAGTGATTAATATCAGTGATTTAAATACTGCTCCCTATATTTTTATTAACATCCTCCAATCAGAGGTATCCAATAACATTACCGGTGAAAAACAGCCGGTGTTTTGGTGCTAAAGGTGTGCAGGACGTTTGCAGCTCTAATAATTAGTCTGGACAAATCAAAGCAGGGTGTATAATTCTTCATTTATGCCGGTAGCTGAGTGCGATGAGCTGGCAGTAAGATAGATACTGAAAATACAATTGCCCAATCTTCTAATGTACCTCCGCGCTTTGATGCAGTTGAAGGTGTTTGCAGGCGGGACAAGGGTTGGACATTACCTCACTCTGAGCGCTTTCTGGGGGGGAGAAACGAGCGAGTAATTAGCTGATTAGAGGCCCGTCAGAGCAGCTCAGCCTTCAGCCAATCCCAGCTCACAGCGGCCTTCAGGGGTGGAGGAGGACGGCTGATGGAGAGAGACGCACGCCTCTGTACTTTGTGATGTTGCAGAGTGACATGTATGAGGAGAATTTAAAGAAACTGGCGCAGGGATGCACATGCGAGCGTAACTTAGCAACTGCTAAAAAAAACAAACAAAAAAGTACACTTTTAGGGATATTAGTCCTTAATAGAAGTTGGTAATGTGTTAGTGCTTGTTGTCGAACCGCACATGATCGTCTCCAGGCTGTTTTTTTCAACGAAAACATAAGGGAAACATATGAGTTTGTAACTGAAGAGGCTCCGCTGTCTGCGCTCTGACGCACGGCACAGGTGCGCACCAGCCAAGCGTTTATTTACTTACGACTCTGCAGTGTCACTCTTTTTGGGTGAAGCCGTCATGGAGAAATCGAAAAACTTCAGAATCGACGCCCTGCTCGCAGATGAGACCCACCGGGGCGGCCGAGACCTCTCCCCGGGTCTGAGCAGCGACAGTCCCGCTGGCAGCCCGGTCTCCTGCCGCCGTGCGGACACCCCGTCTCCACGGGCCGCACAACTTCAGACCGGACTAATCCCCAAACCGAGTGTCCTGAATCTCACCCATCCGGGACTCGCTTCGCTGCCCCAGGGAGCGATTCCCGGCATGTACCCTGCGCCCATGTACCCGCTGTCGGCGCTGGGTGGGCAGCACCCCGCCTTCGCCTACACCGGTTTCACACAACTAACGCAGACCTACCCGGAGCACCTGAAGGCGGCTGCCATGGCTGGATCTCTGCCCCTGGAGCACTGGATCCGCGCCGGGATCATGATGCCACGACTGCCAGATTACAGCTGTAAGTATGAACAAATATATGTTTGTTTTTAGTTTCAAAATACACATACTTGTAAACCCAAATGCCA